GCGCAGCGGCGTTGGTTCTGCCGCGCGGCCTCACAGATATCCAAAGAGAGCTCTCAACCTGTTCCAACCTTGACGTCATTGGCACGTGTCTAAAGTGTGTCTTGCCCACCAGGTGCGTTGGTGACACAATCACCCAACATCCCATACAGCTGACACTACTCGAGCAAGCTGTTGGACACGCTGTCGGCTGTCAGACGACCGGCGGGCGAATGATAGGGCGGCCGCGCACATCTAGAGGCCACGCGCGCATGGATCGGGCATTCTCCCACCGCCTATGGTATTGCAGCAGTCTCGGATTCTGTAACGAGCCGAAGTGATGGATGGAACTGCCTCCGCGCAGCGGCCCACGGGCGCAGGGCGAGTCGCCGATGCCGCTGAGGTAGCTGAACCCCTGGGTCAGCCCGCGCAGCTGTCCTCGGCAAAACACTGCCGTCGGCGAGAGGGGCCTAAAGACGCAGGCAACGAGGGCGCAGGCAACGAGGGGGGCGTTGAGCAGTTCGACGCCACGCGCGACGTCACCGGGCCAGGGCAGCCCTCGACTCTGGAGCCACAGGCTCCACATGTCGAGCACGATGACACACCGCACGGCAACGGCCCGCTCGACTGCCGCTCGGAAGCCCCGCCTGGCCCGCGAAGCCGCGCGCCGCGAGGCTGCGCCAAGGCGCACGGGTGGGCCTTCTCTTGAAAATCCAAGCCAGCTGCTGAAGACCCCCACGAGCATAAACAGCGCGGCGAGCGGCAGCACGTGTCGAGCTGCTCGGACACCGCATCGCACCACTGGCTGTAATACTCTGCCGCCACCTCCGCCAGACGCCGCCAGACGCCGCCCTCGCACTTAATGCCGCCCTCCAGGACGAAGCGCTGGCGGCCGCGGTCGCACCGCCTTGCTTGCCAGCAGGGGCGGGAACGCCCACAGCCCACTCCAGGTGGTGGTCCCCCGCCAACGCCTGCCCCACATGCACCAGCCTTTGACGCGCTCGTGGAGCAGCCCCGCGCTAAGGGCATCCTGGAATTCTGGAAATGCCAGCCGAAGAGATTGCCGGGGCTGCCCCCACGCCCACAGGGCGCCTGCGCGGCCCAAGATATCCCCGGGATTTTGCCGCGGCCCCCACGGCCGCTGGCGAGTCCGAGAGGGCCACGAGAACAGTTCACAAGCCGCGAGAAGGCCCCGCAAGGGCGCGATCCACCGACCCCATCTGTTCTGACCCCGTCTGGGATGCCTAGACTCACCGTTCCCTGGCCACCGCTCCCTGGCCAGGCCCATCCTGCTGAGCCCAGCAGCGGTGTACACGCCACGCCATCCTGGCTTGGCCAGGAGGGCATACACACAGCTCCTGGGCCCAAGAAGGGCCCCGCCAGGAGACAGTGGCGGCAGGTTCCCGAAAGCCTGAACCCAAGAATGTTGCCATCTCTGGAAAGGTCGACTTCTGCCGTCTTCCGCCGGAGCAACCGCCCTCGTTCAACTTCCGCCGCCGTCCGCCGCCCTTCCGCCGCCTCCCGCCGAGGAAGAGATGCCAACCTTTTTCGATCCTCGAAGGCAAAGCCCTTTCTGGAATGTCTCATGTGTCGCGGCGCCGTTTGTTCTCGACGCGCCCAAGCGGACGGCGCCGACACCACGGCAAACCCACGGCACTCCCTGCGCCCCGCGCCCCCAAGGAGACACAGCCGGCACCGCAGCAAGCTCCACGGCAAACCCGCCGCGTCCGAGGCGGCGTTTGCCCTGGTGCCCGCGGCGCCCTCCCCGAGACGCAGGGCCGCGCGTCGGAACAAGCGGCGCGGCGACATGTGTAGGTTCCGTCGTCCTCGTTCTCGTCGTCGTCGTCGTCGTCGTCGTCGTCGTCGTCGTCGTCGTCGTCGTCGTCGTCGTCGTCGTCGTCGTCGTCGTCGTCGTCGTCGTCGTCGTCGGTCGTCGTCGTCATCGTCCCGTCGCCGTCGTCGTCCTCGACCTCGCCCTCGTCGTCGTCGCCGTGGGCCCCGCCCTGACCCGGGTCAATCCAGACCCGGGTCAGTCAGGCCTCACAGAATCCTGCAAGATCCTACAAGATCCTGCAGCCAAGCCCGGGTCAACGCGGAGGATCCCGCAAGATCCTGCAGGATCCTGCACCCCAAGCACGGGTCGGTGCGACCCTGTCCCTGGGAGGATCCTGCAAGATCCGGCGCTCTGGCTGGCCCCCCTTTGCCTTGCCCCCGTCTCGAGGCTCCCGCCCCTCCTCCTGCCGGGCGCCCCCGGTCCTCCGCGCCCGCGCCCGGCGGCCGCGCGCAGGGCGCGGCGCGCTGCGGCTCGAGCCGCAGCCTGCCCACCTGGGGGGCAGCGCTGGGCTCGAGCAGGGGATCGACTGCGGAGAAGTTCTTTATCACCCCTGTGTGTGTGTTTTTTTTTTATCACCCTTGCTTTTTTTATCGCCCTTGTTTTTGTACGGCAGGTCCGTGTCGTGCCGACTTCGGCGTTGGTTTCTGACACCGCGGGGATCGTTCAACCTTGAACGATCGGCCGTTTTCGAAACCTCCAATCGTTCCACATCGAACGATTCTGGGTCGCCCGCGGCGTTCAAAGTTGAACGCCGCTGGCGGGGTCGCCGCCGGTCGACACGACACGAACCTACCGTATCGCACTTGATTGTTATATCACCCTTGCTTTGTTGATCACACTTGTTCGGAGCACCCATCGTTGCCGTGCCAGTGCAGCGCATGATTGCGACAATTCCCCGCACGACTTGCTGCAAGATTGCTCGTGCGGTGTCGGCACGCGCAAAGATTTTCGAAGACCGCGTAGATCGCTCGACCTTGGATCGATCGCGGCCCCGATCCTTCAGGGTTGAGTTCCGTCGGGCCCCGTGGCGTCACCGCGTCCCTCGTCAGTTCCGCGTCCCTCGGTAGTTCCGCGTCGCAGAATACGACCTTGAACACCTTCGCCAGCGTCGCCGGCGCGCCAGCGCTGCATAACCCTAGCCTATACAGCATTGATCTAACCCCCAAGTTGTCTTTCGTCGAGTCTACGAAAAATACTTAACAGTGTTCGCAGATCTACAGCAATCCTGCACACTTTTCACAGAGCCGACGAAATTTTCGACTCTGGGGAAAAAAATCTGCAGTCGATGGAAGGCGGGGGAGGGCATCGAGCTCAGGGGGGGCATTGCTCCTAGGGGGGGGACGTCAGGCCCTGAGATCGGGGCGTTGTGGTTTTTCTCGCACTAGGCGTTCTCGCCCGGCTTCGTGCCCCGGGACCACCGCAGCTCGATCCAGATCGAAAACTGAAGCAGAAACATGGGGTCTGGGGCTCTGGGCGGAGCTTTTCGCGATGTTGTTATCTGTGTCGCAGCGTCGGACCTCAGTGTTCGAGGTTCGAGGCTGGTTCTCGGCGTTCCGGGGGCCAGGAACGTCCCGAACCGCGACCCGGAGGCCCGAGTTACCTACCCTCCGAACACCACAAGGGGACCGGTTCAGAAGGCGGGCGCAAGGGGCCTTGAGGGGGAACGTTCGGGTGAGGGGCGCTCGGACCTCCTTAGCGTTTCCTCGACTAGGGCCACTGGGGCCCGAAGTACCGGGCCTGGGACCCTCAAAAACAGATCCACGGCGAAAAACTGTCCCCAGGGAGAGGACCGGGACCTCTGAGCCGCGCACTGAAGAGAAAATTACCGAGGGACGTACCCAACCCTTTGAGAACATGTGGCGACTACACAGGACCGCTCACTACAAACGAAATTATTGAAATACCTACAGTGGGCAGGAGCATTCAGGAGTGAGATCTGAAGAGCGCGGCAACGGGATCAACGAAAAGAAACAAAAAGTAGAAGCAAAACTACGCTGCAAGGCAAGCGCCCGAAAAGTAGATACAAAAGGGCGCGGCAGCGAGAGTAACAACAAGCAGAAAAAGGCAAGGCAACGCAAACAACCAGAAGCAGCGCAAGCAGCCCATGAAAGTGGCAATAGCTGCGCACTTCGCAACCAGGAGGTCTCGACTGGCGTACAACTCCACTCCGCTGGACCTCCGAGGAGCCCACGAAAATGGCGACAAATGAGCACTTCGAACCCCCCAGAGGGCCACGAGGTTTCGATTGGGTGTGCATACAACTCCACTCTGCTGAACCTCCGAACAGCCCACGGAAGTGGCAACACTTGCGCAGTTCGCAGCCCTCCAGGAGGGCCGCGAGGTCTCGACTGGGTGTGCGTACAGCTCCACTCCGCGGGACCTCCCAGGAACCCACGAAAGTGGCGTCAATTGCGCAGTTCGCAGCCCTCCCAGGAGCGCCGCGAGGTCTCGACTGGGTGTGCGTATAAATCCGCTCCGCAAGACCTCCCAGGAGCCCACGTAATTGGCGACAGTTGCACACTTTGCAGCCCCCTAGGGTGCCGCGGGATCTCGACAGGGTGTGCGTACAACTCCACTCCGCTGGACCTCTCAGGAGCCGTTCGCAGCCCCCCCAGGGAGCCGCGAGGTCTCGCCTGGGTGTGCGTGTCCTCCCACTCCGCTGGGCCTCCCAGGAGCCCACGAAGGTGGCGACATTTGCGCAATTCGCAGACCACCCAGGGAGCCGCGAAGTCTCGGCTAGGTGTGCGTGTCCTTCCAAAGCGCTGGGCCCCCCAGGAGCCAACGAAAGTGGCGACATTTGCGTACACACCGCTGGGCCTCTCAGGAGCCCACGAAAGTGGCGACAACTGCGCAGTTCGCAAGCCCACAGGGAGGGAGCCGCGAGGTCTCGGCTGGGTGTGCGTGTATGTGTCCCCACTGCGCTGGTTCCCCCAGGAGCCCACGAAAGTGGCGACAATTGCGTAGTTCGTAGACCCCCCAGGGAGTCACGAGGTCTCGGCTGGGTGTGCGTGTCCCCCCACTCCGCTGGGCCTCTCAGGAGCCCGCGAATGTGGCGACGGAGCGCACAGTGCTCTGCTCGAAACGGGAGCCCGACACAGGGAGGGCTGGGAATAAAGCAAGAGACAGGAGGAGAGAGGCGGGAAGAAGGAGCATCGCGCAAGCAGTGCTCCATTCAGCCCCCCAGGCAGCGCGAGCAGGAGGAAGGAGAGACGGGAGGAGGAAAAGGAGGAGGAGGAGGAGGAGGAGGAAGAGGAGAAGGGGGAGGAGGAGAGAGAAGGGAGGAGGGAGGAGGGTTGGGGGAGAACCCAACACACATGAGAGCTGGGAATAAAGCAAGAAGCAGGAGGCAGGAGGGGGAGGAGGGGGCAGGAGGAGGAGGAGGACGAGGAGGAGGTGGAGGAAGAGGAGGGGGAGGGGGCAGGAGGGGGAGGAGGGAGGATGGAGGGCGGGAGGTGGAGACCACATTGTTTTATTCAAGACGAGAACCCAACGCAGGAGGATTGGAAAACAGCCTGATCTTGCCACGAACCCCAGCCTTGAGATGCAGGTCGGGATGATTTGTGAGAGTGCCAGATGCAAGGAGTAATCTGCCTCTTGGAGGCTTCACTTGACGAGGGGAAAGCGTTGCAATCAAGAAACATGTTGTTCCTGTGAGCTTTCTGGAGTAGCTTGGAGGCTCGTGTGCTCTGTGGGGGACCCGTTGGGGCTTCAGTCGCATTGCGGGATGTGCGTCCGGGACGAGCAGATTACGCGCATTGCAGGATCTCGCTGGATCCTCTGGGGCGCACCTGGGAAGTTTTTCGGGTGCATTCCGGGGCCTGTTGCGGGCGTCTGGGGAAATTCTCGGGGCCTCCTCAAAACTCCTGGGACGTCTCTGATTTGGAGGGTGCATCCTGGTGCCTCTTGCGGGCGTCTGGGCAAGCTCTCGGGGCCTCTTCAAAACTCCTGGGCCGTCTCTGGGTTGTCTCCCGCCGTCTGGCACCTTCGGAGGCTGTGCTGGTGTTGGCTCTGGGTTGTCTTCGGGCCCTCGGGGGGCCCTTTACGACCGTGATGGGGGTTTCGTCGGCCGTGTTTGGGCGGATTTGTGCGGCTCCTGATTCTTGCAGTTCTGTTCGACCGTCTTGGGACTCTTTGACTGGCGTTTTGGGCGGTCACGGGTTCTCTCGACCGCTGAGCGTACGTAGGCAAGACTGGCGAGACTCAATGGAGCACGCACGGAAGGGGACGCAAGCAGGGCGGAGTTCCCGTGTTGTCCGCTTCCCACTGGAAGCCTGTTCGGGGCTTCCTGAGGAGGTGCAGGGCACAGTGGGAGGAGAAGGACCGAGACAGCTCGGAAGCGAGACGATGGAGGAGGGTAGACACACGCGGGGGGAGGGGCAGAAGGATGGGCACAAGAGAGGGGCAGTTGTTCCTTCAAGAGAGCGACGACGACGATGGAGATTTCGGAGATGGCGTCTTGGGGTTTCTTGGAAACTTCTTGGGCCATGGGAGTCTATCGGAAGCGAAGAACAGGGAGGCGGGAGGAAAGAAGGGAGACGGAGGCATGAAGGGCGTTGGGAGCAGGCTGGCGGTAGCGACGGTGATGAAGACCTCGAGCATGGAGGCGGGCGACGAAGATGACAAGACAACTCGCCGTTTGGGCCCCACCGCCGGCCGAAACGACGTGCGAACGCATTAGACTGGTTCCCGTGTTGTCCGTTTGACACTGGTTGTCGTAGCGTCTCCAGCCATCCTGGGCCCCCGTAGTCAGTCTTGGGGACCTTTTGGGGGTCTTCCGAGCCCTCCTGGGGACCTCTTGGGGCCTTCTTGGGGCCTCTTGGGGGCCTCTTGGGGATCTCCTGGGGTCTCATGGGGCCTCCTGGGGGCCTCTGTGTGCGGAAAGCTCGAAATCTCCGTCCACGCTCCGCCTCTGGGGCCCTGCTTGGGGTGTTCCTGGAGCCCTCTTGGGCCGTCTTGGAAGCGTTTTGTGTTGTCACGGGGGCCTCTTGGGCCGTCTGGGCGCCCCTGGGGGTCTCTGCGGCCGTCTTGGGGCGATCCGTGGGGCCTCTTGAGCCGTCTTGGGACGTCGGGAAACCGAAAAGGCGGAGACACGAATTACGCCACCGACGAACCCCACACACTTATATTATGGCTGGGGTGATGATAGCTGAAGTAAAGCATGTGAGAATGATGTTGGTGGCCGCTGCCCCGCCGAGACCGTTGGTGACGCCAATCAAAAGGAGAGGAGGGAGGACAGTGGAGAGGAGAAGCGCCGCGCCCACCACACTTTGCGAGCCCAAAACGGATAGCGACCGCACCCCCAGCGCACCCCCTTGTGGCGTCGAGGAAGTACAACGCCTGCCACACCAACGCACCCCCTGTGGCGTCGAGGAAGAGTCACGCCTGCCTCGCTCTGCGGCCCCGGAACGGATAGCGACCGCAACCCCAGCCCTCCCTTCGGCGCTGAGAAGTTGCCACGCCTGCC